GCCTGTCGGTCTTCTTCTGTCATTCTCTTCTCTGACACCTCAATTGCTCGTTTCTTCATGGCTGAGACCAGGAAGGCACTGAGGTCCTTAATTGCACGTTCTGAGGCTCCTCGGGTTTGAGGCATGTCAATAAGTTAAATTCGTGGTACCCAGCTGTTAAATTAGATTGATCAGCTGTCAGAGGTTGAGATACCCACGGCTACCGCTACCATACCTGGACCTGATGCCAAGCCAGTGGGTGCATGGATGCCAAATTGCGTTCAGGGTAAAAGCAAAGTAAACCTGGATGCCAAACAGTGTGTTGAACAATTCCCTTTGGGCCGGTAACTCGGAAGTTTCATGTCCAGAATATATAATAAACACAATAACATAACATAGACATGTATGTTGAACATATACATGAAGTGCTCATGCCCAGAAAACAAACACAACATCTAGCATCGGTGCGCTACCTTTTTTCTGCACTGAACTTGGTAAAGTAAAACGTGCCACGCCCACACCACAGTACTATGTGGGCACACTAGCTTGCATTCACCAACACGTATGCCCCTCTCTCAACCCAGGGCTCTAGAGCGTATGCGCCAAAAAACTGTTGTAAACACATGTAGTAAACGCAACGTGTTTCACAAAGATTGTAAGTGAGGCTGTTGGAAGTCCAACATTCAAAATTCCACTCTCAGGATCTCTCAGGCAATACCTGGCACAGAGAGTGTGGACATAATTTGCAAACACATGCATCCTGAGGGATTAAGTAATTCAACGAACCACATGATCATAACTCTTTTCCCTCACCTTGAAGCCGTGGTGAAAGTGAAAATGAGCTTTGTACTCATGCCAGCATACGTGGCCACATACGCATTGCATCCGTGTTCACAGACCTTGTTATTCCCCTCAAGGCCAAACACGGTTTTCCGCGACCCATGTTTGAAAATTAGATTTGAACCCCTTTGTCACTTGCCATCACTGCCGCACGCTCCTGGGATTCCATCCACTGCTGGTGGGCAGCCTTCATATCACATCCATTTGCCATAGCTTTCCTCACCTTACTGCGTAGACCAGTGCTCTATAGAGTACAGGTTTCAAAATTCAAATGTGATCCAAAAAACTTCTATAGAACCAAAACGTGTTCATGCAATGTTTAGGGACATAGTCCCAGCGGATCTTGTGTTTATCCGACTTTGGTTTCTGTGAAGATGAAGAAGAAGCTGCTGCTGGCGGTGTGGTTTCCACTGCTTCCTTGTCATCCTTTGCCGTGCTCCTCGAAACCTTTTTTGTTCCAGAAACATTTTCATCACATCACAATCAACGTCTAAAAAACATCAACATATGAAATCAAAAAATTGATGAACAAGATTGGTGGCCCCCTTCTTTGCAAAGTTCTGGTGCCATGCCCTTGAAGTCACCCGCTTGCGCTCAGCACGCTCTTCCAAGATTGCCTCCTTGGTGACGGGGTCCATATCCTCCGTCAGTTGCACCCCAGCGTATTTCCACTGACTGGCAGGAACATCCTCCCAGGGAGTGATCCAAGTTCTCAACAAACCAAACCTCACACCAAAAGAATGGTTAAATCATTGCGCAACAACAAGTTGGAAAAACACACCAGTGGATCCTCAGCAGGCAATGCATCATCACATTTCATCTTTCGGAGACGTTTGCGAGCTGGCTCTGGGGTGAGCTCTGCTGGAGCACTGACGCATTGCGATGCATCGTCCTTCACGGTCATATTCTGTTTGTCAGCATTTTCCTTGTCAGCATTCTCCTTGTCAGCATTCTGCACCTGCTCGATCACATTCGGCGTGGTCTCTTCATCCAATGCCTCTTTCTTGGTCTCTTCATCGTCAAAGAGTCGTTTGGGCTCAACCTGATTGGAAACTCTTTTGCATCAATGGTGTTGAAATGAATAAACACTGAACAAACCGTTGACTGCAAAACTATGCAGAATACAAAATCCTTTTTGTTTGTTAAGTCACCGTCTCATTCACATTGTTTGAAGACATACCATTCGAAGCGCCCCAGAAGTCGTCAAGTGCATCTGGCTGAGTATCAGGGAAAGTCGCCTCATACGGGTCGAAGAAGGCGTAGTGCTGCTTTGCTGAAACTTCATCTCCATGAAGTGGTGCTGCCAAACCCCGCACCACCTGAAGATCAACAAGTGCCCTTGCCTTGCCACCCAATGAACTTGAAAAAAATCTTCCAAACTAACAAGAAATAACAATGGAACTTGAGGGTCACAGTCAAAGTGACTTCACGTGGAAGAGGTTCAACTGGCTGAGCTTGACCAGGGACTGCTGCAAAGCGTTGCAAGTTCTCACTGAGCTTGAACTCGAAGAACTGGGCATTCTGCCTTTGCAAATCCTTCTTTGGAACTGGAACCACAACAGGTGGAGCTGGCTTAGAAGCCACAGGCACTGGGACAGACATGGAGCCAGTGAAGCCGGGTTTTGAAGCCAGCGAAGCATTCAAATGCTTCTCCATCAAGGTTTCGGCTGCACGACTTCCCTCCATTTCAAGATCGACCACAGGCGCAGACATGAGAAAAGACTGACAAAAGCCTACTGGGAGCAGCTATGATTTGGGTTCAAAGAACTGCTTCCATGACAAATTATTGGTGACAGCATCGAAAGCAAAACAACATGACACAAGACAAACAGTTCCTCAGCGACCAACAAACACTTCTATTTTCACCTGAGGGCTGCTGCAAGCAATCTTTGCGCACAGGATCTGAATCACACGACTTGGTAGACCATGTTCGCCTCCATTGTAAAGGAATCCTTGAAATACCGAAGAGGCTTAGCTGGACCCAGCACTTTCTCACGGGAAAAGTGGCGCATTCCTGAAGTACAGAGTTCCGAGCGCCCCGAGGTCAACCTTGTCAAACATGCCCACACCCTGCCCAAAGAAGTGCACACAAAACTTATTTTAAAAGATCCATTCAAGCAGCTCCACACCAACGTCAGCCAAGAACTGTCTGCTAGAGCCTTGTAGCCAATGAGGCCGGCAAGGTTTGTGAACTTCGCACTTTTTGCCAAAACAGGGTTTGGCCTGTATACGCTGTGTGTCTCATGGGTGATCTCATACCTTTCAGGGATGAAGGTCAACAACCACCATCTCAATTTGCTTTTAACACCCTCACCTGTCTGCCTCTTCTCCTCGCATGACGGCTGCTGGTCGTGCGAGCTTGTGCCCAGCGATGGTAGTGTCCAGATGCCCCTCCTTCTCCAAGTCATTCATCAACTTCTTGAAAGGCATTGGCAGGGAGTCAGACTTTCCAGTGGTTGAGGATTCTTCAAAGACAACCTCAATCTCAACCCTTCCAGATGCAGGCCAATCACTGAATCACTGCAGTAGAAAAAGTATAAAACAAGACAATGTGTCCTAAAGGATGGCCTAGAAACCCTTTGCTTCTCATCTTGAAGTCTGAACTCGATGGCCTTGTTTTCGTTCGCCGATTTGCTGAGAAAATCCTTCGCCTTGTAGGGGTGGCATCATCAATCAACAAGAAACAAGGACTCTGTGAACCAAGTTTGGGCACCCTAGTCCTTTGCACCGTCGCTGATCCATGAGCCCCCAGCATACAAGAAAGCCGGCTTTGCATTCGGAGAGGTGATGCCTGGAATGGTGAATTTGCTACCACAGGTGATCCAGCACTTGTTCTCCACAAGGTAGCACGTGACCTGCTCCTGAAGGCTCAGCACCACCGTCGCGGTGAGGGTGGGGTACTTTGCCTTGAACTGATCCACAGTGATGCCTGCTGGAGCTTCACGGATTGTCTCACTCGGTGTCACCACCTTTGCTGCAGCATTGGTCTCAGCAAGGTCCATGTTCTCAGCACTTGTGGTGGGTGCTGGTCTCGGGGCTGCGTTTGCATCAGAGACAGGCTGAAAGACTGAGTCAAAGTTGTGCAGCCGCACTCTCCAATCCGGGTCTTAGCGTCAAAAATTAAAATTGAAATCCAAAGGCATCCAAACTAATTAGAACCAAGAAAACAGCATACACAAAAAACAGCATATGGATCAAAGGAGAAACTCCTGATGGGATCATTGAGCCGTTTCTGTCGCATCTCCTGCGGAATGGACAAGTGGCCATGTTGCAAATCTTCAGCGTGGGGATCTTTGCAGTGCCAACGGTTTCCTCTGGTGTTGGGTTGTACTTCGGCTGCACCTTCGCAAACAATGAGCGGCCTGCCTTCCAATCCTTCAGGGATAGGCAGCACAACAACAACTGGTTGAGAACTTTTTTGAACCTCAGGCCTCCAGAAGTTTGTCTTTGATCTGAGTCATTGCATAGTTGAATACCACAGGGCTCGCCTGAACAGCCTCGCTGCTGCATCCCAGGAAGCATGTCTCTTGAAGTTCGCCCATCAGTTCGTAAGCTACCTTAAAAAATTCTTTTGCAGACAAAAAAGACACAAAGCAAGAACCAACATAAAAGAAGCAACATGTTCAACTTCAAGCTCAAAGTTTGTTCAACTTCAAGCTCAAAGTTGCTTTCTCAAATGCGCCTTCGTAACATGTTCTGTGGTGGAACAGCCCACATTGGTTCTTGAGCGTTGAAACTCTGCTCAAGAGGGCTTGGAGGATGGACTTGATGACTCCAGGGGATGAGATCCACTGAGCGGTTTCTTCTTTGTCCTGATCAGGCAGCTGATGTAAAAAAGGCAACCAATTTGGGTTGAATCAAACCACTGAAAAGGCTAAAGCTGACGAGTATCTGTGAGACTTCGCCCATGCTCGTGGGTCATATAGGTTGATGACTCTGGAGTCACATACTCGCTCATGTTCAGGGGCGGTGCTGGCTTGCATGCGAGCAGATTCCAGTAGTCACATCGCGTGAACGTGTTCTCATCCTGGAGCGGCCTTTCTGAATTGCGAGGTGCACGAAATAAAGTTCCCAACTTCGCCCCCAAGGTGCTTTCCAAGACCACCATGTAGGCAGGAATGGACTGCGGAAAACTCCTCCCCCAGGAGAAAAGTGTCTACAGGGTCCACATACATTTCCTATCAACCCAATGCCAAACACGTCAGCTTTACTCTTGGAACAAAAAACAAATGTAAACTTGATTTGGAATGTGAAATGTAATGTGTCCTGTTCCCATGAAGCTGCTCCAAGCAAAATGTCACTTGTACCATCTTGACTTCCATATTCATGCTGGTGAACTTGTCCTCCAACCTCCTCATGGTTTCATAGTTTCATTTTAATACACGCAAATGGAGAAACATTGGTCCGACAACTTTAAATAAAAACATGCTGAACCAAGAAATGCTCCAAGATTCCTGTACTCGCCCCTTAAACCGCCCAGGAGCCCCTCTGCAGCCAGCAATGGTGCTACAATGAAGACAACACCTCCACACAGTATCATGTGACAAAAAAGCACAGTGACACCCATCAAAAACATGAACAGCTGAGGCACTGAAGTTGGGGTTGATGCTCAAGATCTTGTAGCACCAGTCAGCAAGTTCCTGCACATCTGGGGCTGCAAGCCGCCCCAACTTCGGTAGGTCAGCGTACCCGATGTGGTGCATGTGTTCAAGGTCTGCGCCATCGAACATGCTCTTGGCTTCCTGGAGCACTCTCCGTTGCATGGTAGCAATGTTGCCTTGCTGACTGCCAACAGTTACCAAGAGCCTCTTCTGCATGAATGCCTCCACAATGCCAAGCCCAACCTCCAATTGAGACTTGAGGTGAAGGACCTGCTCAGGCCCAGGTTGAAATCGTGTGTGAGATGTTCCAAAGTTGGTTAAAACATAGCATGAATGTGGACAAAGAACATGTTTGGGCCTCTGTAACGTGTTTGTTGGACTCAAGCTTGTTGCAGCGTAGATTGTAAGCAACGGCTGCTTTAAAGTCAGCAGCGAGGTTCACACAGTCCAATGAATACGTTGCTTGGGCCAGTTTCTCCTCGATCAGCTTGCAATCAAACAAATGAGTCAAAGTCAATGGAGTGTGGGTGGGTATAGTAAACAAAAGACCACCAAAAAAAACTATTAATATAGGACTTGCATCTTCAGCCTCATCTATGTCACCAGCATCGTCAGTGCCGGATGCGGGAGCACTGCTCTTGATAAGCGCACGGCCCACATTGTCTTGCCACATCGCGGTCATCTCAACTTTCATGGTCGCAGGCTTGGCGATGAGCAAAGCATCCAAATCCTGACCATAGTCCCTGAGTTCCACAAGTCTTTCAATTATATAGAAGACCATTTTTAGAGATGCAAAATGAAAACAAAAAGGACTTCTCTGTGAACGTGTCCAACATATTCTGAAGCATTTGCTCAGTGACCTTCAGCACAAACAATGACATTAATAAAAACAAAGAATCAGCAAAACAGGTTTAGCAAACCTGTGTTGTTTAACGCAGTGAATACTGAGGGCTTGGCTCCAGGCATCTTCCTGCTCTCCTCCACCACCCAGGCAGCCACACAGCATTGATCTACATGCCTTGACCACACTTCTTCACCCCATCTCAGTCGGCTCCTGGTAGATCGCTTCACACGTCGTGCATTGACAGACCACCATTGGTTGTACTTTTTGAAGTGAAGCTCTTGAGCGGCCTCTGATACCTAGATGTCAAAAGGGGTGAGAAGAGGCACCAATCTTTGGCAGTTTCTGAATAACACATGGAACTGAAACATGAAATAGCTACCACCAATCTCTGGCCAAGGTACTGTCAAGATCATGACCCATTGGCCACTGACACCCTTCGCTCCCTCATGTAGACGGTGACGTCGTGATTTGAGAATGCTCTCATTGTAAGCTGACTCTTCCCACTTGTTGAAGTCTAAATGACTTCTAATCAAACGTTTTGTGGTCGGAGTCATTCCAATCACAATGCCCTCGATGCTCCTCCTCATGTCATCTGAGATTTGCCACTTTCGGATCGCCAGGTTGGATTTGTATGTGTTGTATCTGTCAATTAGCATACCAAGCAATTCCACATCTGTCTTCTCCTCCAAGCTGACCTTGAAGCGCTCTTCCACCATGAGCTTTTCAAATCGCAAGCTCATCTGTAAAGCCTGAGTTGGTTGAATATCCTGCATGCGCAGAATGCACACAACTCCCCAAAATCAACAAACTCAAACCAAACACATAAAAAAAAGGTCAAAAGGTAACATCACAAGCAGGCATCGTTCTTCCGCTGTCGTTCCGCACCCTGGCATGACAGCTGCATTGCCTCAAAGGAAATCTCCTCATGTGCTTGGCCGTGTGATATGCAACTGGGCAAGTTCCAAATGTCACGGATTGCAGGGAGCAAAGGCAAGATCAGATCCTGACAGGCAATCTCTAGGATTTGGCAATCTCAAGTTAGTTCTTTTATCACAACATTGAGATAAACAGCTTTAGACTTCATGTCCTGGCCAGAAACTGGATCCAAATCTGATGCAAGGAGGACTAGAAAAAGCCCAGCGGTCCTCGACTGCAGTAAGGCTGAGCCACCAAAACCAGTCCCACTGAAATTCACACAACAAAGAACTTAAAAGCGAGGACAACACATCACAAGCAAGTGGCAGCCGAGTGAAGCCTTTCTTCACTGAGAGGCTCGGGTTGTATGGCGAATCATCCATTGGCTCTGTATCCTCACCTCTGGAGGAGACAAATGTCAGGTCCAAAGGCTCCCTGTCCAAACGTGATCCTGAAAAAATGAAGCTGATGACCGTTGTGAGGAAGTCCTCGATCACTGGAAGCCCATCATCAGGAGTATGGATTCGGATGGCGTTCAACGGCACCCTCACGTTGACACGAGAATCCATTGATCCGGCTGGTGGGCCAATGTCCTGATAAACAATGGCAATCCCATCACATATCATGCTTTGTCTTAGCTTTCCACGATTTACACAACCACTAAACTATGAAACAAACACAAAACAAAGGTCCAGCTTGCCTTTCATTGCTGAGGAGCAGTTGGCCAAGTTGCCTGCTGAAACGTTTTGCCATGAATTTCGAAGGCATCCTCCAAAAATGTGTGAATCTTCTGGCACGTGTTTCCAGCACAAGTATCTTGAAAGGCATTCATGACGACGTCCAAAGGATGGACTGTGGCACCCGCATCTGCATTCATCTTGCTAGGGTCAGTGAACAAGGACAGGTATTCAAGGATGTCCTGTCTATCAACTGGTGTTGTGAGCATTTTCCTGATCAGACCTTCCATGTTTACAAAGGGGTAATGTTAACAAAGCTAACATTTGTAACAAAACAGTCCTTGACAAAGCTGGTGTCGCCTTCAAGTTTCTTGCAACCAGCCATCCATTCAGTCTTCCTCTTTTTCGCTACTGGATCAGCCACCTCTGTCTTCACCTGACCAATGTGATGAAATCATCAAAGAATACACTAGTGGATTGATTTAACCAAATAGGTGAAAACAACAGCGCTAACCTATTTCAAACCTAGAAGCTGGACTGGGACCAGGCTCTTCTTTCTTAGCATCAACCTTCTTGACCAAATCCTTGATGTCCTCGCTCTTTGTAGGTGACCCTTCTGGCTTACATTGTAGTGCTCGCTGAGCTGCAGCTACCCCACTCCGAAGCAATGGGCAATCCATGGTCGGGCTACCCACGTCGCAATGGACAGTCCCTCAAACACCGCTTGATTGGATAAGGTGATAAGCGTGTTCAATTGCATCAGGTTTCAAAAAATTGTGACAACGCTAAATCGACATGGCTGTCCCCGCGCAATTGTCCAAAGTCGACATGGCTGTCCCCGCGCAATTGTCCAAAGTCGTCGTGGCTGTCCCCGCGCAAGTGTCCAAAGTCGTC